ATCACACCGTCTTGTTGAGTTGGGATCACACCGTCTTGTTGAGTTGGGATCACACCGTCTTTTTGAGTTGGGATCACACCGTCTTGTTGAGTTGGCATCACACCGTCTTGTTGAGTTGGCATCACACCGTCTTGTTGAGTTGGGATCACACCGTCTTGTTGAGTTGGGATCACACCGTCTGTTGATGTTGAAGTCACCGCAGAGAGTTCAGCATGTCTTTAAGAGAAAGGTTTTCACAAATGTACCAGATGGGGTTTTATTTCATTTTCGCAAATACAAATCTCATTTTGTTTATAACAAAGAATCAAATAGCTAGTGTGAGCACACATTTGGTAGAAATATTGTTCAGGGTCTATTTGCCTAAAAGCTACTGTGTAACTAGGTAGATTATTGCTATCTGTTGATACAGGTCTAAACTGTACAGTATATATAAACAACATGCAGTCCAGTCCAGATATTTGTATCACCAGCTGATAACAGTCTACTTGGGTATAGTGTTACATTAGAGAATCAGTGATACTGGTATGTAAGGTCTGTTGTGGATAATCTTATATACAGCCACACTCATACAGATTTCTAGGTTAATCAACTCAACCCACATTGTAAGTGTACTGCAAATTATTTCTATCAGCAATGTATGGCTATGTAAAACCTGAGATAACGTTTCTCTTGCTTCGATATACTTTATGTACATTTCGAAAACCACCTTACCTGCAGATAATCTGCTCTAAGAAAGTATTAATGATCATGACTACCATTTTTCATTCCCCATTTAGGTTTGACCTAGCTAATTTCAATGGAATTTGACCTTCCACAGTAAATTTGCATGCGATTTCGGCTCTTGACATCTAAAATTTTCATGCAAATTATTGTTGTCAAACTATTACATTGTATAACAGGGACGGTGATGGTGGTGTAGGAAACCCCCACACAAACTATTACATTGTATAACAGTGACGGTGATGGTGGTGTAGAAAACCCCCACACAAACTATTACATTGTATAACAGTGACGGTGATGGTGGTGTAGGAAACCCCCACACAAACTATTACATTGTATAACAGTGACGGTGATGGTGGTGTAGGAAACCCCCACACAAACTGTTACATTGTATAACAGGGACGGTGATGGTGGTGTAGGAAACCCCCACACAAACTGTTACATTGTATAACAGGGACGGTGATGGTGGTGTAGGAAACCCCCACACAAACTGTTACATTGTATAACAGGGACGGTGATGGTGGTGTAGGAAACCCCCACACAAACTGTTACATTGTATAACAGGGACGGTGATGGTGGTGTAGGAAACCCCCACACAAACTGTTACATTGTATAACAGGGACGGTGATGGTGGTGTAGGAAACCCCCCCACAAACTATTACATTGTATAACAGGGACCGTGATGGTGGTGTAGGAAACCCCCCCACAAACAATTACATTGTATAACAGTGACGGTGATGGTGGTGTAGGAAACCCCCCCACAAACTATTACATTGTATAACAGGGACGCTGATGGTGGTGTAGGAAACCCCCACAGGCCATTTTCCTATAAACGAAGGGTTTGGTGTGGCCCATCTGGGGTAGAGGGGTGAGGCCGATAATAGGGGAAATTGTGGAAAATCGTTAAAATCCTTCTTCTGTACAATTGTAGGGATTTGGACCAAATTTGGTGTAGAGCATCCTTGGGCAAAGGGAACTCAATCTTGTATAAACGAGGGCGGCAGAGAGGCAGGGCCAAATAGGGGATATTTAGGTAAATATTTTAAATTCTTCTCTTTCTGTATGAATGGATGAAATGCTTAAACTGGATAGAAAATATTAACAATAACATACGGAATACAATATAAGCTTGTTAGCCCTAAGTGGTGCAATTTTGTTGTGTGTTGGTATTGAAAGCTGGATCAAAATCCACCCATGATGCAATTACTGGTGACATGACAATTAATCCAGCAGGAAAATAAAAAGTGAAGAAAAGAAGAGATAAAACAAGCATAGATCTAATAAAGATCTTAGAAGGCATGGTAAGCACCAATTAAAGATCAATCTGGGATATCTAGTAATCTGAGCCAAGATTTTCAATTTATTTTATAGGTAGACTTTGTGAAGCTACTTGATGCTGTGTGACCTCCTGTGCAACCTTCTGACCGCTTCCATTCACCACTGCTGCTGGCATCATGACGAGGAATAGCTATAATGTCAGTGATACCAAACATACTAATGGCACATCTATTATGAACAGTAAGTAAATTTATTATACCTCTACTTTATTTACTCTATATAAAAGTAATTGGTTAAATTGAATATATCCCCACTTTTGTCTGACCGTGTTTTAGTCCTGTGTGTTAGTCTGGGAACTAAAACACACCTACCCTCCGGTGTTTCCGCCGAGCCAATCAGGCGTGAGGTGGGCGGAGCTTGTTACCGAACTCGGTAGCATTCGGCTCCATTGCCATCAAAAGGGTAGTTCGGACGTGAAGCTATACAGCTTAAGGTTTACAAATATTTTCTAGTCAAAACTTATCTCTCCAGTGTGTATCGGTATAATAAAACGGTTAAAGTATGGGGTTGAGGGATATAGCAAGTTTCTGGTGTCCCTTGACCATGCCTATTTCCCTCGGCCTTGGGACACCAGAAACTTGATATATCCCTCAACCACATACTTTAACTGTATACTCACAACTCTTCTTGTGATATTTTGCTGATACAAGATCTGTGATAGAGCCCAACAAAGTCTAGGTCACAGGTCAAATATGTCAAAACCTTCAAATTACTTCTTTTGAAGAACCAAAAGACCTATGAGAGTTATGGTATTTTGCTGCTAGCTTTCATGGTTTGAATCTCACAAAGTTTGTGAATGAAAATGATCTTTACCCACTTTCAAGGTCACAGGGATCAAATATGTCAAAAGCATCAAATTACTTCATTTATGGCTGGTAGATTCCTGAGATATAGCAGGAGCAGAATGCAACGAAAAAATGTGAAATATTCAAATTCTTTTGAAGAACAGATGCCTAGAACCATCATATTTTGTGGGTAGCTTCCTCAAACAACCCTGAAGTTACAAAATATTCCAGGTGAGCTATATATGCAGGCCTCTTGGCCATTTGTTGGATTGGTACCAATCAACAGCTACATGGTACCATGTATAAGTGAGAAGATCACGGAAGATAACTTGATTAAATTACCACTTGTATTGGATGTGGGAGAAAAATAATCATTCCACTCTTTAGGAGTAGGACAGAAAAATCTCAACCCTCGGGGCAAGATTCTTTATTGTCTGACCCTCAGCCTGGGGCTAGACATTTAACAATCTTACCCCTTGGGTTGAGATTTTACTTTCTTGCCCTCGAGGTGGGGGACGATTATATTAGTTTAACTTCCCTAGCAAAAAAGGGGAATGTTCTTGTGGAGTGTGGGTGTATAACTTCAGTTAGGCCCGGCTTAGTTGATACTATGTGGGAATGTTACCTTGGGCATAAACATTTGTAGTAAAAACTGACAAAAAAAATCAAGATTCAAAATGGCTACCATGGCTTCTTATTGGCTGAAGCAATTATGGTTGCAATATACCTAGAGTTGTAGGGGAGGGGAGATGAGAAGTATTAGTGTGGCTTACAGTTGTAGTTGAAGTTTAGATTGTGTTCAATGTATCACTACAGGTCAAGTTGACGAGAAGGAAAAATTCCTGGCACCAGTGCTGGTGGAGCCTGGCCTGGATAGTATCAACAAGAATCCAGATGACCTAGAGCTTAACGATGAGGACAACGCTCCCAAGGACAGGTCAGCTATTAGCACAGTCGATTGATAATGATTTACTAATGGATAATTAAATAAAATCTAAAAACTGTTGTCTATAGTACTAAGTGAAATAAACTCATGCTTGTAAAACAAGTTTCTCTTGTGGTGCATGTAAAAAAACCTATGGTTGGTTGAATGGTTTTGTAGATACGTTGTTGTATATTTAGCTAACCAGCGCTAGCTAGCTTTAAAGAGTCATGAACAGCCGAGTAGATTTTGACTGGATCTGGACCATCCTTAGGCTTAGGGTTCTCAATTTTGTATAAACGGTGGGTGTGACACCCCCACCCACCCCCCACCCACCCCTCTGGGGGCAGAGGAGCAGGGGCCAAATAGGGGGAAACCTTTAAAATCCTTCTTCTACCATAGGGATGAAGGGATTTTATCCTAATTTAGTCTAAAGCATCCTTGGGCCAAGGGGACTCCATTGTTCCAAACAATATTGCTTCTCAAAGTGTGAAAATGCCTTAAAAACATCATTGTACAAATTGTACCAAAATCTAACTATCTTTTTCAACATTGTACAAATTTGGCAAACTAACTCTCCTGTTGATTTGCAAATATTCATGTACTTTCAGATATCGTATAGTGTTCTTTATAATGCTGATACACGGAATCGGTATCCTCATGCCATGGAATATGCTGATCAATGCTAAAACGGTGAGTAGAAAACTAAATGGGTTCCCTTATTGTGTTACCTGCTTGTTCACCTATACTTACCTGATAGAAATAATCTCCCCTTATAAAACCAATTGACTCACCAAAAAATAAATCACTTGCATGACCCTGATGTGATCACTTAATGTGTGGGTGATAGTACAGACAACAATTCACAGAAGTCTGGTAAGGAAAGTAAAGGGGGAAAATGACAGTAAAAACACTTCATCTAGTAGTAAGACAAAGAGCACATCTAAGCTGACAGAGACAGTTACCCCTTGGTAAATGGAAAACCAGGACTTGGTTTACAGCCGGTCACACTACCACTAATCTACAGATCATATCCTAACCTTATATCATAAGCACAATTTTCTAAGGCTACTTAGCTTCTATATATTAAATAAAACTCTTGACACTGACTACGACCCAAGGCTAATAAAATGCATAGCAAATTATATGTACACTTTGAACAATTAAACAGCTAATATATGCATTACAGTGATTGTGAAAAACCAATAAAAAAATAGGGTGACAGGAAAGGGGAAACCAGATTTATTTTTATTTTGCCTTATTTGACAAACTTGAAGGAAAGGAGATGGGCTTATCACCGGTAAAATACGATTTATGGATTTTAGTGATGGAGGGCAAATATTTGATTGAGGCAAAAAACCTTTCCTGGTATTCGTGTGTATTTTTAACTTCACATTGAAATAACAAATTCTTTGTTTAAGTGAAAGATTTTATAATGCCGCTATTACATTACATTAACAGTACTTTGAAGACTACAAGCTTTCAACCAATACATCAGAAGTCCAGGAGCTGAGGAACAATTTCATGTTTTACCTTGGAATTGCATCACAAGTTCCAAACTTCATCATGAGTGGCATCAACACTTTCTGTCAGTGTGGAGGGTAAGTACTGTCACAACTACAACGGGTATAGTCAGTGTGGAGTGTAAGTACTGTCACAACTTCAACAGGTATAGTCAGTTTGGAGGGTAAGTTCTGTCACAACTACAACAGTTATAGTCAGTGTGGAGGGTCAGTACTGTCACAACCACAACAGGTATAGTCAGTATGGAGGGTAAGTACTGTCACAACTTCAACAGGTATAGTCAGTATGGAGGGTAAGTACTGTCACAACTACAACAGGTATAGTCAGTGTGGAGGGTCAGTACTGTCACAACTACAACAGGTATAGTCAGTGTTGAAAGAGGATTTTCACCCAAAGAGTACCTGCACACTATACACAAGTGCGCACAATATGTGAATATTTACAGTACATAATGGCAAGTCTCAAGCTATGTTTCTATATGTAATGCATGTATATTTATGCATACCGTATGTTCAGATATATATTTTCTGTGGGGATGATGTTTTCGCGATTTCGTGTGTCAATAGTGTGATTGTGAAAATATGATCTGCAAAACAATTAAACAAGCATAAGATTGAGCTGCTACAGTAAATAGTCATAATGTTGTCATGAAATAGAAAGTATGTGGTTGTAACGATTAATAGACATCACCAGTAATTCTCTAATAAAATATGTTGGAAAAGAGATTGAATTGAATGGTTTTACTGATTATTTAACAAAATGCACTTGTTTTTGCTCAACATCCTGTAATAAAGAGTATTCATTTCAATATTTGACACTCTAGAGACAAAGTGTTCTCTGTGCAAGAGACAAAGTGTTCTCTGTGCTAGAGACAAAGTGTTCTCTGTGCACGAGACAAAGTGTTCTCTGTACTAGAGACAAAGTGTTCTCGGTGCAAGAGACAAAGTGTTCTCTGAACTAGAGACAAAGTGTTCTCCGTGCTAGAGACAAAGTGTTCTATGTGCTAGAGACAAAGAGTTCTCTGTGCTAGAGGCAAAGTGTTCTCTGTGCTAAAGACAAAGTGTTCTCTGTGATAGAGACAAAGTGTTCTCTGCGCTAGAGACAAAGTGTTCTATGTGCTAGAGACAAAGTGTTGTCTGTGCTAGAGACAAAGCGTTCTCTGTGCTCGAGACAAAATGTTCTCTGTGCTAGAGACGATGTGTTCTCTGTGCTAGAGACGATGTGTTCTCTGTGCTAGAGAGGAAGTGTTCTCTGTGCTCGAGAAAAAATGTTCTCTGTGCTAGAGACAGAGTGTTCTCTGTGCTAGAGGCAAAGTGTTCTCTGTGCTAGAGACAAAGTGTTCTCTGTGCTCGAGACAAAGTGTTCTCTGTGCTCGAGACAAATTTTTTCTGTGCTCGAGACAAAATGTTCTCTGTGCTAGAGACAAAGTTTTTCTGAGCACGAGACAAAATGTTCTCTGTGCTAGAGACAAAGTGTTCTCTGTGCTAGAGACAAAGTGTTCTCTGTGCTCAAGACAAAGTGTTCGCTGTGCTCAAGACAAGGTGTTCTCTGTGCTAGAGACAAAGTGTTCTCTGTGCTAGAGACAAAGTGTTCTCTGTGCTAGAGACAAAGTGTTCTCTGTGCTCGAGACAAAGTGTTCTCTGTGCTCGAGACAAAGTTTTTCTGTGCTCGAGACAAAATGTTCTCTGTGCTAGAGACAAAGTTTTTCTGAGCACGAGACAAAATGTTCTCTGTGCTAGAGACAAAGTGTTCTCTGTGCTAGAGACAAAGTGTTCTCTGTGCTCGAGACAAAGTGTTCTCTGTGCTCGAGACAAAGTGTTCTCTGTGCTAGAGACGAAGTGTTCTCTGTGCTAGAGACAAAGTGTTCTCTGTGCTCGAGACAAAGTGTTTGTTGTGCTAGAGACAAAATGTTCTCTGTGCTAAAACACTGCAAACATTTAATTTGTTCACATGTCTTGATTGCTAAACTATGATCCGTGAAATTTAATTGTTTTGTGTCAAAATCGAGAATTTTAATCAGGTAGATAGCACACTATACAGTTATTAATAAAACCGATCAATTCTGATTGGACAATGTGCTGATGGTTGCCTATATATTTCAGGATGCCGTCCTCAAGGAGGATTGTGATAGCTATTGCCATAGAAGTTGTGTTATTTATAGCAACAGTCATCCTAGCCATGGTAGACAGCACCGATTGTAAGTACAAATGGTAGTGCTCTTATAGAACTAACATACACCAAGTCTGTGTTAGCCTGTGACCAACTAGTACATACACCAAGTCTGTGTTAGCCTGTTACCAACTAGTACATACACCAAGTCTGTTTTAGCCTGTTACCAACTAGTACATACACCAAGTCTGTTAGCCTGTTACCAACTAGTAGTGTTTTAGCCTGTTACCAACTAGTATATACACCAAGTCTGTTTTAGCCTGTTACCAACTAGTACATACACCAAGTCTGTTTTAGCCTGTTACCAACTAGTACATACAACAAGTCTGTGTTAGCCTGATACCAACTAGTACATACACCAAGTCTGTGTTAGCCTGTTACCAACTAGTACATACACCAAGTCTGTGTTAGCCTGATACCAACTAGTACATACACCAAGTCTGTTTTAGCCTGTTACCAACTAGTTGCACTGCGATAATATCTTTGGAATTGAAATGGAGTTGTGCATAAATGCAAGTAACGGTAAAGGTACTTAGAATTTAGTGAGAAGGTGCACAAATGCAATTATTACAATCCTAATTTATAGTTCTCATTCTACTTCAAAAAGCACCTGTTCATCTGTTTATTGCTTTACATAATGTGTTTGTTATAAGAACCAGCGCCTAATTGTTTATCTCCTTCATCTTGTAGGGTCACGGGAGTTTTTCTACATTACAATGCTGATAGCTGTCTTCCTTAACAGTAAGTACTCCAGGTTCAGCGTGGAGGAACTGTAAGGTGTTCCTCACTTTATCACAGACACAATTTCAGCCTTGTTACAAAAGAAGCCATTTCAAACAAAGGACTATGTATGGTTTAATCTATTTTGGCCCCCAAATGCATCAAAATTCAAAACCTTTAAGTTAACTTTGAAATGCCTGTTTCTTTAATTTTGAATACTTCCCAAATACTACATGAAAATATTTGTATTTCTAATTATTGTTGCCATGGTAACAAGTTCAAATTTGCATAACTAAGAAAAAATTGAATATTGTGATATTTTGCATAGTTTTTCTCCTAGAAACTATAGAGCGCATGCTTGAACAAACTTAATAGCAAAGGATAATGACTAGGCACCTTTAATACATCTTTAAGATAAATATAAAGTTTGTTCAAGAGTGCGCTCTATGGTAGCAAAGAGAAAAACTAGGTGAAAACCTGTCAAAACTGACTGAATAATCGAATTTCAATAATTTATGCAAATAGACCTGGTTACCATGGCAGCCAAAATTGAAAACACAAATAAATGTTTACATATAAATAGAACTGGGGAAGCATTCAAAATTAAAGATACTTTCTTTTAAAAGTTCTATAACAGATTTTTAATTTTGATTGATTTGGGGGCCAAAAAAGGCCCAAACCATACATAGTCCTTTGTTGAGAAACGTGTTTAACAAACTATCAAAATTGCTGTTCAAGGGAAATACAGATGCCTAAAAATACCTATAAGTCGTCATCATGTAAGGGCTTCTCACGCATGTTTCAGTGTATAATTTCGAAAGTCTAGGACCGTTTCATCCGTGTAAGCTTGTCTGTAGCAATGTAGGAATGCATTGTTGCAGTACATTCCAGCAGGAGGACAGACATGAAGCACCTTTACCTAGTTACAACCGTGATACAAAATGGGACAAAAAGTCGGAGGAAAATTTGCTAAATGACAGAACTACGGGGAGACCTAAATTTCTGTCAAAGTGGCTCTCAGATGATTGTTTTAAAAATTTGTGAGTGTATGAAGCTGAGAGTGTTATAAATTTGGTTGAAAAGTGCAAGGGAGCAAACAAATTTTAAAAGAACAGTCTAGTCCAAGTTTGATCAAAAATCAAAAAGCTGCTGTAAGTGCTCTGAGATGTGTGTACTGGCTCAGTATGGAAAAAAATGCAACTTAAACATTTAATTCTTTATTCAAATTAATAAAACTTCAGGGATGTGCTATTATTGAACGTCTTTATTCAGGTAAACATGCTCCATATAAGACAGACAGGTCAGCCGAGGAATTGCTGTTTATCTAAATTGTGATAAACCAACAAAACTTGCTTTCAACGACATTACAGCTGTTGTTTAACATGGAGTACAAAAAAAACAGTTAAAGACAGGATTTAAAGGCTGATCAATTGTTTATTTGCTATGCACAACATTATCATTTTCATTAGATCCCTTTTCTTCTAAATGACTCCCTTTTTTAAGCTGATGCCCTCTTGGCAGCAATCCTATATTGAACACTGGGTATACTGTCAAAAACCCTTTGCATTGCTCTTTCTAGCCTGCTTATGTTCATTTTGGTGGTAAATGGTACAATTGTATTCGTATTTGGTGGTAATCAGTACTTATTGGATAACTTACATGTACATGGTGAATAAGGACACATTGTCCAAATGTGATAATTCAAAATGGCTACTATGGCTTCTGATTGGTCAAGATCTTCTGAGCTATAACTTCTGTTCTCTTGGTCAGATATTGTTCAGATTGTAGTTGTTGGATCACATATGTGCAATGCCCTATTACCTATATCTGAAGTCTAAGATGATCATTGAACTTTAGCTTGGTGATTATATGAGGTAGGCAGTGCCCCTGCCGACCTGTTGATGTATTGTTACTTACCCCAGTATGGTTTTATGTTTAGTGGCCACAGGGGTATATCAGAACAGTGCATTCGGTATAGCTGCCACTCTGCCAATGAAGTACACCAATGCTATTGTACTTGGAAATGTAAGTAATCAAAAAATCCTAAAATTTCATAAATAGGAGAAGTTCCTAGAATCTGTCTCATTTGTGTCATAGATAGTTTGGATGATGTGTCGGCCACATATGGTTTCCACACAATTACTCTCCAAATTTTGTGGATTTCAACCAAATTTGGTGTGCACTTTCAGATAGGCATGTGTCAGGTGAGTTTGCGTGGCGATTTGATGCATTTATATATATGTATTATTTATCAACTACCCACTTGTTATAGATTTATGTGTTTCTGTGTAATATTGACCCTATAACCCTGTGGTGCAAAAGGGGGTAGGAGTTAATTACATATACCAGGTGTTGTTTATTAACCCTCTACCCCATTTGGTGCGCCAGAAACCCATTTCAATCAATCTTTCACATGTAATATAATAAGGCATTATATTGCCAATTAGTAGAGAAATTGTAAAAATGAAGAATCAATGGCCTTAGGGCATCATCCACTTATTGCTAGTTTGATGTGTAATTACCAAAACGGCTGAATTTGTCAGCCTCCACAGTAGAAGCAATGTTTGTGAATGTTTTTATTTTCCTTTCTATTTATAGAACTTGTCTGGAGTTTTTATTGCTGTTTTAAACCTGCTGTGTTCTGCAGGTGAGTGACAGATGTTTACCCTAATAGTTTGTCAAAGTACCTTATTGTGTGTCAAAGTACCCTCATAGTGTGTTAAAGTACCCTCATAGTGTGTAAAAGTACCCTTATAGTGTGTCAAAGTACCCTCATAGTGTGTCAAAGTCCTCTTATAGTGTGCCAAAATACCCTTATTTTGTTTTAAAGTACCCTTATAGTGTGTCAAAGTAACCTTATAGTGTGTTAAAGTACCTTATAGTGTGTCAAAGTACCCTTATAGTGGTGTGTCAAAGTTCCCTTATAGTGTGTCAAAGTACCTTATAGTGTGTTAAAGCACCTTATAGTGTGTCAAAGTACCCTTATAGTGTGTTTAAGTACCTTATAGTGTGTCAAAATACCCTTATAGTGTGTTAAACTACCCTTATAGTGTGTAAAAGTACCGTTATAGTGTGTTAAAGTACCGTTATAGTGTTAAAGTACCCTTATAGTGTGTCAAAGTACCCTTACAGTGGTGTGTCAAAGTACCCTTATAGTGTGTCAAAGTTCCCTTATAGTGTGTCAAAGTACCCTTATAGTGGTGTGTCAAAGTTCCCTTATAGTGTGTCAAAGTACCCTTATAGTGGTGTGTCAAAGTTCCCTTATAGTGTGTCAAAGTTCCCTTATAGTGTGTCAAAGTTCCCTTATAGTGTGTCAAAGTACCTTATAGTGTGTCAAAAGTACCCTTATAATGTGTTAAAGTTCCTTATAGTGTGTCAAAGTACCCTTATAGTGTGTTTAAGTACCTTATAGTGTGTCAAAATACCCTTATAGTGTGTCAAAGTACCCTTATAGTGTGTAAAAGTACCCTTATAGTGTGTTAAAGTACCTTCTAGTGTGTCAAAGTACCCTTATAGTGTGTCAAAATACCCTTATAGTGTGTTAAACTACCCTTATAGTGTGTAAAAGTACCGTTATAGTGTGTTAAAGTACCGTTATAGTGTTAAAGTACCCTTATAGTGTGTCAAAGTACCCTTACAGTGGTGTGTCAAAGTACCCTTATAGTGTGTCAAAATACCCTTATAGTGTGTCAAAGTACCCTTATAGTGTGTAAAAGTACCCTTATAGTGTGTTAAAGTACCTTCTAGTGTGTCAAAGTACCCCTATAGTGTGTCAAAGTACCCTTATAGTGGTGTGTCAAAGTACCGTTATAGTGTGTCAAAGTACCCTTATAGTGTGTAAAAGTACCCTTATAGTGTGTTAAAGTACCTTCTAGTGTGTCAAAGTACCCTTATAGTGTGTCAAAGCACCCTTATAGTGGTGTGTCAAAGTACCCTTATAGTGTGTCAAAATACCCTTATAGTGTGTTAAACTACCCTTATAGTGTGTAAAAGTACCGTTATAGTGTGTTAAAGTACCGTTATAGTGTTAAAGTACCCTTATAGTGTGTCAAAGTACCCTTCTAGTGTGTCAAAGTACCTTATAGTGTGTCAAAAGTACCCTTATAGTGTGTTAAAGTACCTTATAGTGTGTCAAAATTCCCTTATAGTGTGTCAAAGTACCCTTATAGTGGTGTGTCAAAGTTCCCTTATAGTGTGTCAAAGTTCCCTTATAGTGTGTCAAAGTTCCCTTATAGTGTGTCAAAGTTCCCTTATAGTGTGTCAAAGTTCCCTTATAGTGTGTCAAAGTTCCCTTATAGTGTGTCAAAGTACCTTATAGTGTGTTAAAGCACCTTATAGTGTGTCAAAGTACCCTTATAGTGTGTTAAAGTACCCTCATAGTGTGTCAAAGTACCCTTATAGTGTGTTAAAGTACCTTCTAGTGTGTCAAAGTACCCTTATAGTGTGTCAAAGTACCCTTATAGTGGTGTGTCAAAGTACCCTTATAGTGTGTCAAAGTACCCTTATAGTGTGTCAAAGTACCTTATAGTGTGTCAAAAGTACCCTTATAATGTGTTAAAGTACCTTATAGTGTGTCAAAGTACCCTTATAGTGTGTTAAAGTACCCTTATAGTGTGTTAAAGTACCTTATAGTGTGTTAAAGTACCTTATAGTGTGTTAAAGTACCTTATAGTGTGTCAAAGTACCTTTTTAGTGTGTCAAAGTACCGTAAAAGTGTGTCAAAGTACCCTTATAGTGTGTTACACTACCATTATAGTGTGTCAAAGTACCATTATAGTGTGTCAAAGTACCTTATAGTGTGTTAAAGCACCTTATAGTGTGTCAAAGTACCCTTATAGTGTGTTTAAGTACCTTATAGTGTGTCAAAATACCCTTATAGTGTGTCAAAGTACCCTTATAGTGTGTTAAAGTACCCTTATAATGTATCAAAGTACCTTATTGTATGTTAAAGTACCATCATAGTGTGTAAAAGTACCCTTATAATGTTTCAAAGTACCTTATTGTGTGTCAAAGTACCCTAATAGTGTGTGTTTAAGTACCGTTAAAGTGTGTCAAAGTACCCTTATAGTGTGTTAAACTACCCTTATAGTGTGTCAAAGTACCATTATAGTGTGTCAAAGTACCGTTAAAGTGTGTCAAAGTACCCTTATAGTGTGTTAAACTACCCTTATAGTGTGTCAAAGTACCTTATAGTGTGTCAAAGTACCATTATAGTGTGTCAAAGTACCCTTATAGTGTGTTAAACTACCCTTATAGTGTGTCAAAGTACCGTTATAGTGTGTTAAAGTACCGTTATAGTGTTAAAGTACCCTTATAGTGTGTCAAAGTACCTTATAGTGTGTCAAAGTACCCTCATAGTGTGTCAAAGTACCCTTATAGTGTGTTAAAGTACCCTTATAGTGTGTCAAAGTACCTTATAGTGTGTCAAAGTACCCTTATAGTGTGTCAAAGTACCCTTATAGTGTGTTAAAGTACCCTTATAGTGTGTCAAAGTACCTTATAGTGTGTCAAAGTACCCTTATAGTGTGTCAAAGTACCCTTATAGTGTGTTAAAGTACCCTTATAGTGTGTCAAAGTACCCTTATAGTGTGTTAAAGTACCCTTATAGTGTGTCAAAGTACCCTTATAGTGTGTTAAAGTACCCTTATAGTGTGTCAAAGTACCCTTATAGTGTGTTAAAGTACCCTTATAGTGTGTCAAAGTACCCTTATAGTGTGTTAAAGTACCCTTATAGTGTGTCAAAGTACCCTTATAGTGTGTTAAAGTACCCTTATAGTGTGTCAAAGTACCCTTATAGTGTGTTAAAGTACCCTTATAGTGTGTTAAAGTACCCTCATAGTGTGTCAAAGTACCCTTATAGTGTGTTAAAGTACCCTTATAGTGTGTCAAAGTACCCTTATAGTGTGTTAAAGTACCCTTATAGTGTGTCAAAGTACCCTTATAGTGTGTTAAAGTACCCTTATAGTGTGTCAAAGTACCCTTATAGTGTGTTAAAGTACCCTTATAGTGTGTCAAAGTACCCTTATAGTGTGTTAAAGTACCCTTATAGTGTGTCAAAGTACCCTTATAGTGTGTTAAAGTACCCTTATAGTGTGTCAAAGTACCCTAATAGTGTGTTAAAGTACTCTTATAGTGTGTCAAAGTACCCTTATAGTGTGTTAAAGTACCCTTATAGTGTGTCAAAGTACCCTTATAGTGTGTTAAAGTACCCTTATAGTGTGTCAAAGTACCCTTATAGTGTGTTAAAGTACCCTTATAGTGTGTCAAAGTACCCTTATAGTGTGTTAAAGTACCCTTATAGTGTGTCAAAGTACCCTTATAGTGTGTTAAAGTACCCTTATAGTGTGTCAAAGTACCCTTATAGTGTGTTAAAGTACCCTTATAGTGTGTCAAAGTACCCTTATAGTGTGTTAAAGTACCCTTATAGTGTGTCAAAGTACCCTTATAGTGTGTTAAAGTACCCTTATAGTGTGTCAAAGTACCCTTATAGTGTGTTAAAGTACCCTTATAGTGTGTCAAAGTACCCTTATAGTGTGTTAAAGTACCCTTATAGTGTGTCAAAGTACCCTTATAGTGTGTTAAAGTACCCTTATAGTGTGTCAAAGTACCCTTATAGTGTGTTAAAGTACCCTTATAGTGTGTCAAAGTACCCTTATAGTGTGTTAAAGTACCCTTATAGTGTGTCAAAGTACCTTTATAGTGTGTTAAAGTACTCTTATAGTGTGTCAAAGTACCCTTATAGTGTGTTAAAGTACCTTATAGTGTGTCAAAGTACCCTCATAGTGTGTTAAAGTACCCTTATAGTGTGTCAAAGTACCCTTATAGTGTGTTAAAGTACCCTTATAGTGTGTCAAAGTACCTTATAGTGTGTCAAAGTACCCTCATAGTGTGTCAAAGTACCCTTATAGTGTGTTAAAGTACTCTTATAGTGTGTCAAAGTACCCTTATAGTGTGTCAAAGTACCGTTATATTGTGTCAAAATACCTTATAGTGTGTTAAAGTACCTTATAGTGTGTCAAAGTACCCTCATAGTGTGTCAAAGTACCCTTATAGTGTGTTAAAGTACCCTTATAGTGTGTCAAATACCTTATAGTGTGTCAAAGTACCCTCATAGTGTGTTAAAGTACCCTTATAGTGTGTCAAAGTACCCTTATAGTGTGTTAAAGTACCTTTATAGTGTGTCAAAGTACCTTATTGTGTGACATTAAGTACCCCTATAATTTGAGACACCTGTGCTTATTAGAACACCCTTAATTATACGTTAAGATTAAATATAACTTAAGTAACCTGTAAAATGCTGATCAAAGCTTCATTGCACATGTGGTGTGTTCATTTTCCAGGGGCACCTGATCCAAAAGTGCAGGCCATCTACTACTTTGTTGTTGCCATAGTGATACTGCTGGTTGCCCTTGATGCATATTTCCTTCTCCCTATCATGGTAAGACTGAAAAGAGGACTGGAAAATACGGTTAGGACACCTTTGGGCCAATATTGCATATCATAAGTCCAATTCTCTACTTCTTCCTTCCTGTCATGGTTAGTCTGGGAGAGAATAGAAGACTTTGAGTACTTTAAGGGCTCATTATAGGCCCAATCCTTTTCTTCCTCTTTTCCATTATGTTAAGTCTGGGGATAGAAGAGGAAACAGGGTAATTGCACCTTATTGACCTATTGTATGCCCAGTTCCCTACTTCCTGAAAATCGCCATCATAGGTATGAAACCTCTATTTCTATTTCTATAATACATTCACATACAGTTTGACAATCATACTTTGCACACACAGTTTTTAGGTCACCTGAGCTTTGCTCAAGTGACCTATTCCGATCACTTTCCGTCCGCCGTCGTGTGTAAACTTTTTACATTTTCAACTTCTTAAGAACCAGTGGATGGATTTTTTTTTCAAAATTGGTCAGAATCATCCTTGGTAGATGAGGCTACAAAATTGTAAAATTGTGATTCCTACCCCAACCCCTGGGGCCATGGTGGGGCCCCAAAGGGAAAATTAACCAATATTTCAAAAATCTTCTTCTCCGGACTCAGAGGTACTACAGTCATTTTCTCTGCATGGATGGAAAGATCATCAGGGGCTTCATTTAAATTGTAAATTTCAGGACCCCCAAGTTATCCGTTCTCCCTTGGGGATGGGGTAAAGTTAACTATAGTTTATATAGGGAAACAACACTTTTGTGTATAATTTGACAACTTTTTCTGTAGGAAATTATTCTACTTGGTGAGAATTAACCTTGGAGGAAGATGGTTTTCAATTGTAAAATTTGGATTCCTACCCCAACCCTAGGGGCCAGAGCGGGGCCCCATAGGGAAAATTGACCAATATTTCAAAAATCTTTTTCTCCAGACTCAGAGGCACTAGAGTCAGTTTCAGTGCATGGATAGTAAGATCGTCAGGAGCTTTATTTGAATTGTAAATTTCAGGACCCCAGAGTTATCCGTTCTCACTTGTGGAGGGGGTAAAGTTTACTATAGTTTATAAAGGGAAATAACACTTTTGGGTATATTTTATCCATTTTCAGCAGTAAATTATTCAAACTTAGTCAGAATCATCTTTGGTGAATGAGGGTATTACATCATAAAATTGGAATTCCTGCCCCATCCCCAGGGGCTAGGGTGGGGCCTCAAAGGGAACATTTACCAATATTTTAAAATTCTTATCCTTTGATGACATGACAAGTATTGTATTTCACTTAGTGTACATGCTGATTTCCATATCACATCTAAACAATAAAATAAAGCTACCAGTACCTATGATATAACTCAGGTGACCGCTAAGGCCCTTGGGCCAATTGTTTGTAATGTCTGCCTTGTCTTTAATTGCCCTGCTGCAGCTATAGATATATATATATATAGGCACTTGATGGACAATAAACATCTTAGTATATGTCTCGTTGAAAATAATGTCAAGAAACAGCATTATTGTCTGTGACATGGTTTAGTTCTGACAAAAACATATAGTTTCTTCTGATCAGATAAAACTTTAAATGATGATGAATCCTAGATACTTTAACACTGTTTCCCTTATAACAGAATTTTTACAAGTACTACGAAAGCAAGGTAACCATAGCATTGTCTAACAGTGAGTCCCCGAGCTCTACATCCTTCAGCCAGACAATGAAACAGTTCAAAGATGTCTTCATGAAGGTAAGAATCGAACTAACCACGGTACTCTTGACTCATATAGATAGTTACTGATGTTATTTGGTGGCACATCATTAAAGCTCCATTTGCCATACAGTTGAGTGTTGTTTCCTTCTGTTTGATGATCCTAAATATTTCTAGGGTACTTGAAAATATGAAAAATACATACATGTAGCATTAAACTGAAAATGAACATAATAATTCCTAAATGCATTATCAGTGTTGCCATACAAAAATTAGTTGTAATCCAAATTCTTGTTTCATGATGAACGCGTAAATGACACCTAATTTTAAGTTTGTTTCAGGCATGAAAGAACCATTTATTTGTAAATTGGTAAATACAACGATTGGGAAATTTTACTGACAAAATACAGGTTAACTGAGTTCTGTTAGATGGAACATGGCTTGTCTGTGTAAAACTTGTTCTGAATATGCCACAATAGCGTTTTTGTGTGTCGGCCTACTGCAAGGAGTCAAGGTTGCACAAAACTATTCACTGACAGGAACTCAATGGTCAACCTAAATCTGTATTGTAACAGCAATATTGCAAATTAGAGTTAAAACAAATATTTAGGGACTTCTTACAGTTAAGTACACATCAGTTTTATCTTTTTAAATTATGTAAGCAGAAATCATAAATGTTTATTATCCCCTTGAACGAAATTTGGAAGGGGATATATCCTCCCTTAGATACATACTTGTGTATACATATGTTACATTCTTTGTCATCGCACTAGCTACTTCATTTCTCGATGGAATTTCATGAAACTTCATACAAGTTTTTGGTATGACAATACCTTTAACAAGTTTTTTATTTCAGGTTTCTACGTTGGTAGTCAAGGTCACTTTTACTATTTTCAGAAAAGACTTTGTCATCCCTCTAGCGACTTCATTACTGAAGGGAATTTCATGAAACATATACAAGTATTTAGTATGGCAATGCCTTGAACATGTTGGCGCTTCAGGTTTCTATATTGTGTGACATATGAATGAGGACATTTCCTCATACATACGTCACACAATGTGTGAATGCGAGGGGATTTGTATCAATTTGTGATGCCTTGTTGATTTTAAAGTCGCTCCAATCTGGTTGTTTGCAGTCCAGTTAGTGGCCACCTGTATGCACACACACTTGTCTGATTCAGTCAGATTTTCAGACACTTGTTGAGCAAGAAAGATTTGTATATTTCACGAAAAATGTGTGAAGATTTGCCAACAAACATTAGACCCCAGGCTTAGATACAGTGTATATAAAAACAGAGAAAAACCAACAAGTCCACAGCTTCTTTTGAGGGATTTGATAAAAAGTAAAATACTCTTTAAATAAGGTCAAATCTGCTCTCAATCTTTTGATTATTAGCTCGCCTGGCTTGAATTCGTATTGGCTCACCTGGAATTGTAATGAAAAAGATTAAGCCTAGAGTCATGATAATTGGCTAGTCTGCAGAAAGAAGTGACCTTAATTGACCTACATTTAAGGTCTGACAGGGGTCAAATTGATTAAATCATTTAAATGTCTTCTTTTAGAAAACAGAAATCTCTAGTTTCTTCATATTTAGTCTAGCTCACTGTCATAGAGTGTTGCATAATATATGAAAAGAGATGGCCTTGACTTTCGTTTAGGTCTTATGGGTGAAATTTGTTAAAACATTCAAACAACTTCTGCTGAAAAACTAAAAGGTAGAGGTCATGATTTTTGGCCAGTAGCTATATTGTTCAAAATGGTATTGACTTATTTTTAAGGTAACATATGTGCGGTAAAGAATTTGATAATTTGCATAATGTTTATCATGAGCAGACATGTACAATGTATTGTATTCAGAGGTATTTCAGCTTGACATGATCAAGTGACTATATGCCCTATGGGTCACTAAGTATCAAGTAGGATTACTGTAATACATGTACAGGGGCTTCTAAATGGCCCTATTTTCATGTATAAACAGTAGTTAGCATGCTATAAGACAGGGCAACAGATGTATTTTCAAGTCAAATTCAGAGTTGTTTTAAGATATAAAGTGATGAATAAGACTTGACTTAAAGTACGTCTGCTGATACACATTACACATCAATGAGCCCTATTGTTCTAGCTAGGTATGTGGCTGTAGGACTAGTGGAAGAGATACCTGTCCCTTGTGTGGACAGTTGTGCTCACCCCTATTGTTCTAGCTAGGTATGTGGCTGTAGGACTAGTAGAAGAGATACCTGTCCTAGTTAGGTATGTGGCTGTAGGACTAGTAGAAGAGATACCTGTCCTAGGTAGGTATGTGGCTGTAGGACTAGTAAAAGAGATACCTGTCCCTAGTGTGGACAGCTGTGCTCACCCCTATTGTTCTAGCTAGGTATGTGGCCGTAGGACTAGTAGAAGAGATACCTGCCCCTAGTGTGGACAGTTGTGCTCACACCTATTGTTCTAGCTAGGCATGTGTCTGTAGGACTAGTAGAAGAGATTCCTGTCCCTAGTGTGGACAGTTGTGTTCACCCCTATTGTTCTAGCTAGGTAGGTGGCTGTAGGACTAGTGGAAGAGATACCCGTCCCTAGTGTGGACAGTTGTGCTCAGCCCTATTGTTCTAGCTAGGTATGTGGCCGTAGGACTAGTAGAAGAGATACCTGCCCCTAGTGTGGACAGTTGTGCTCACTCCTATTGTTCTAGCTAGGTATGTGTCTGTAGGACTAGTAGAAGAGATTCCTGTCCCTAGTGTGGACAGTTGTGATCACCCCTATTGTTCTAACTAGGTATGAGGCTGTAGGACTAGTAGAAGAGATACTTGTCCCTAGTGTGGACAGTTGTGCTGCCCCCTATTGTTCTAGCTAGGTATGTTGCTGTAGGACTAGTGGAAGAGATACCCGTCCCTAGTGTGGACAGTTGTGCTCGCCCCTATTGTTCCAGCTAGGTATGTGTATGTAGGACTAGTAGAAGAGATACCTTTCCCTAGTGTGGACAGTTGTGCTCACGCCTATTGTTCTAGCTAGGTATGTGTCTGTAGGACTAGTAGAAGAGATACTTGTCCCTAGTGTGGACAGTTGTGCTCTCCCCTATTGTTCTATCTAGGTATGTGGCTGTAGGACTAGTAAAAGAGATACCTGTCCCTAGTGTGGAGAGTTGTGCTCACCCCTATTGTTCTAGCTAGTTATGTGGCTGTAGGACTAGTAGAAGCGAGACCTGTCCCTAGTGTGGACAGTTGTGCTAACCCCTATTGTTCTAACTAGGTATGTGGCTGCAGGACTAGTAGAAGAGATACCTGTCCTAGGTAGGTATGTGGCTGTAGGACTAGTATAAGAGATACCTGTCCCTAGTGTGGAGAGTTGTGCTCACCCCTATTGTTCTAGCTAGGTATGGGGCTGTAGGACTAGTGGAAGAGATACCTTTCCCTAGTGTGGACAGTTGTGCTCACCCCTATTGTTCTAACTAGGTATGTGGCTGTAGGACTAGTAGAAGAGAGACCTGTCCCTAGTGTGGACAGTTGTGCTCACACCTATTGTTCTAGCTAGGTATGTGTCTGTAGGACTAGTAGAAGAGATACCTGTCCCTAGTGTGGACAGTTGTGCTCACACCTATTGTTCTAGCTAGGCATGTGTCTGTAGGACTAGTAGAAGAGATACCTGTCCCTAGTGTGGACAGTTTTGCTCACCCCTATTGTTCTAACTAGGTATGTGGATGTAGGACTAGTAGAAGAGAGACCTGTCCCTAGTGTGGACAGTTGTGCTCACCCCTATTGTTCTAACTAGGTATGTGGCTGTAGGACTAGTAGAAGAGATGCTCTAGGCCCAATCTGGGTCACTTTGCTTCTATCATTATCTAAAACAAATTAATAACGATGATATGTTAGGATGTTGGCAGATTTTTGAAAATGCAATTTACATGTTCACATACTGATTATTTATACTTCATTACCATTGATATAGTTATATTATGTGCACTTGTTTATAAAGCACTGGTGTCCCTCTGAGTTCCTGCTGGTAAATTTATAGTATCACGTGACCTTGACAGCATTTTCCTTCTTGGAGTATCGAATTACCATGCAATTCCTCTGTATATTTTTCTAATTGCTGCATTTATCAATATTCACAACATAAAGTCGAAGGCACCTGATAGTTAGTCAAAGGCACTTGATAGTTAGTCGAAGGCACCTGATAGTTAGTCGAAGGCACCTGATAGTTAGCCTGACCTACTGTCCTTAGAGTTTATTTATCTGAATTCTTCATGAAATATGACTTTAAAGTACAATTTTTTGTAATGGTAAAACAGACAATGCAACTAGGATTTTTTAAGCAAACTTTTATCAGTTTGTTGCTGTGAGTATATTTCTTTGACGATAAATGGTTGTGACCCAGGACTGGTTTTGGATTGTTCCCGTGTTTAGTGTGCAGCCCTTTCTTGACAGTATGATCATTTTCCGCTAAAAAGTTGTACACAATACACAAATATGTACGGTAATGAAGTGGAAGATTTTACAAAATACCACTCAATATTCAAATTATAACAACTCAATTATACAGCTGCTTTCAGGAGAACAACTACAAGTATATCAGCCACTTCTGCGGCCAATAATAATTACATTTAATTTCAGATTTAACTAATTTCATGGAAGTTTGCTCACAAGAAATGGCCACTTTAAGCCAGTTAGAATGTCAGTTGAGCTCTGTGTAAACGCTACATGTAGTATTTACTTCTATGTTGCGATGTCATACTAACTTTGATCATTTGTACATGCACTAAGGGTTACATTTCTTGTGTGTAAACATACATTTATAGCTATTAACCATATAAATACTTTAAAATAACACCTGTTATTCTATATAACCCTTGTTTTCCAGATTAAGGTCCAGGCGATCTGTGTGTGGTTCGTGTTCTTTGTGACATTATCCATCTTCCCCGGTGTATGGAGCAACATCAGGAGGATTGATTTCCCTCTAAGTGGTATGCATCAGGCTAATCCATGGCTAACACAACAAAATAGGGCTATTTTCTGGAAATTAGAGCAGGTTGCAATGTTAACTCTTTTTTCAAAGTAAATTTGATCAAGGTCAAACACATTATTTCAATGCAAAAAAATGGTCTTTGACTGTCACTTGTTTCTTTTCACGTTTCTTCATTGTGTGGTTTAAGCGCTAAACACTTAACAGCCATAGCTACATGTTGTACTTTGACCCATCCATACAGCATCAGTTGGCCTTGACCTTAGAATAAGTTGATGGAATAAAGTTGTTTTATTATCAGTGCTTGACATATCAAACCAGTGTCCTCACCAAGTATAGAAACAGATGGTGGACTTGGAAAAAATAACCAATTAGATGTTCACATGCTGTAAGGTTGACCTATACGTATTCTGAAACAATCGCCAATTTGATAAATGGCATACTTTGTCTGCCGGCAACCTTAATGCGAACACTGAAAATATGACCTCAATGTCTGTAACTGGGAGCGATATATTGCTGTTTTTTAAGCTTTTAGCTCACCTGGTACTAAGGACTGGTCAGCTTATACCATGGTGCGTTGTCCATCCGTCCTTCAAACAACCCCCCAACCCCCCATTCCAAAGTGTCACTTAGAAGGGACATTTATGATTGATATAGAAAACTTATTATGACAGTTTTGATTGGCTGATTTTTATAAACAAATTTGTCATATGTCACTGATCTGAAATTGATCACATGACATATTTTTAATAATAATAATAATAATTCGAGATTCTTACATACTGCTATATCACAACCTCGTTCGTAGATCGTCTCAAAGCGGTTCACAAATTATTATCCGTGGTTATATGGCCTTTGCACCCAGCCAATATCTTTCTCAACTCCCTGGGGAGCATACAGCCGGTGCTGCCATTTCGGCACTCACAGCTAGCATTCAACAATTCTAGCACTGCCCAACCATATACTCATTTACAGCTGAGTAGACTGGAACAATTGGAGTAAAGTTTCTTGCTCAAAGATACAACACAGTGCCATACTGTGAAAAGAAAAAGAATTAACTACCAGAAGTTACTCACATGGAACACTGACAACAACATGGCGGCGCTGGCGTTGACAAGAGTTCAGATGAAGCCATTTTTGAAGGATTTATTGTCGAAGATGTTGCTATTAAAAAAGCTGCAGAATTAAGGGAAGTAAATGAAAGATTAGGCAGTTTTAGTGTCATATTTTTCAGAAACTGTGGGACCAATGACTATCTTAGATGGGCAAAATAATGAGTTTAAACTTTTTGTCTTCGATTTTTGCATCGGAAATATATGATCTGCTGACTTTACAATTTTGTATGCTGAACAGCAATCCCAACTCAGGTCCGACCCAAATAAGACCCTGAGGACACAGAAGGGAGTAAACGCCTGTTTGGTCATCAGAATTTACATGAGCATCTTTAAGCTACAATGTTTTGTAAAGGGACAAGTTTGATATCTCAGTATTTTCATGCTAAAAAAGAACCAGCCTCAAGGGGACTCGAGACATGACCGGTTACATCGTGTCCATCAATACTAGATAATGTGAGGGGGAATATCAGCTGCATCAAAATACAAGCGTCTATGAAGCTATGATCACATTCAGAGGACACCTGGGGTAGTGATGGGCAATCAGTTTAAAATCATAATTGTCAATCGGTTTATAATTGGAAATATTTAATCGATCAATGATCAGTTGCATAAGCAGTTAATAATTTTTCAGGACTGAATACCAAAATAAAGTGAGAACACTATCATTACATTAATAGACAGGGTTGTACTATACATAAGGTTTCATTCTTTTATAATGAATGGATATCAAGCAACTGTTAGGCATTTTTAACCCCTGCTTTCACCGAAACGGGGGATATTCATTTGGGTTTGTCCGTTTGTCTGTCACGCTTCGTTTCCGTGCAATAACTAAATGTTAACCGATTGTCTTCAAACTTAGTACCAGGGGTAAATGTCTTAAGGGCTCGACCAAGTTAGATGACCACTTTCAGCAGACCCCATTTGGCGCAGTTATGGCCCCTTGAATAATTAAAAACGTCATTATCTTTCGTTTTTGTTCATTAACTCTCGTAAATAGTATCTGATGGTCTTCAAACTTTGTAACAGGGTTCAACACATTAAGGGCTGGACCAAGTTTCACAACCACTTTAATCAGACTCCATTTGGCTGAGTCATTCTCAGTCAGTTTCCGCTTAATAACTCGAGCAAATATTAGATAAGGCTTTTTTTCTTCAAGTTTCAAGCTATACATTATGTCTCAACAGCACGATACTGTAACCTCAATAAAGTTTACCTACAATATGTCCTGAAAGCGGTGGATATAAATTCCACGAATTTGCTTGTTATCAATCATATACCCCGGTAGTATAAATCATACTGATATATCCCTTTCAAAGTATACTCTACATGGAAGACATTTAGATACTTTGATTTCAATGATGAACCGATGATATAGATTATGGAATTTGAATGGGTAAACCGATCAATTTCTCAATTATAATCGATCATCAGCCCATCACTAACCTTGGGTTTCACCAGAATCTACCTGCTAAGCCTACACAATACAGGATTAACAAGGTATGGATGTGGGCTGACTAGGAGAATGGGTATACAAATGAATTTTAAGTGTATGCTGGGTAAAAAGGAGAGGATGAAAACTCCCAATATGAACCGACCGCCATGTGTTGTAATGGAATTTTACTTAGAATATTTCAGAGAGAAACCTTATTGTCAACCTTAACTGAGTACTTATTAATGGGGAACAGCAAGATCAAATAGGAAGGTCTTTTTGCAAAACTTCTTCATCCTTCGTGTGTGATAAACCAGGGTGATGTCAATATGGTACCGAGTGGGAAAACCGCAGCTTATGCCTGGAAAGACAAGAAAATAATCTATTTCCTGTCGATTGCAGACGACCCAACAGCAGAACGGGATCAAGTGCAACGGCGACAGATCCCACCATGGTCACCATCAGAGCCGAAGTATGATACAGTGATAAAATATGAAAATGAATGGTGTTGACAAGGCAGATCAGATAAGGGGCGACAGACCCCACCGTAGTCACCGTCAGAGCCGCAGTATGATACAGTGGTACAATATGAAAATGAATGGTGTTGACAAGGCAGATCAGATTAGGGGCGACAGACCCCACCGTAGTCACCGCCAGAGCCGCAGTATGATACAGTGATAAAACATGAAAATGAATGGTGTTGACAAGGCAGATCAGATTAGGGGCGACAGACCCCACCGTAGTCACCGCCAGAGCCGCATAATGATACAGTGATAAAACATGAAAATGAATGGTGTTGACAAGGCAGATCAGATGAGGACAGAGTACTCAACATATAAGATGTTTAAGAGGTGGTGGACATATGTCTTTCTCTTTGTTCTTGACTCGTCGATTGCCCATGCCTGCATCCTTATGAGAGAATCTCTGCACCACAAATTGACAACAATGACGGGCAAAGATAAGGAAAAGTTCTACTAAATTTCTGGATGAATCTGACCAAAGTGATGCTGGGGATATACAGAGCAACAAGGAAAAAAGAAGTGTGGGAAACACAGATTCACATGGAGTTGCATGGTCATTGGCCAAAAGAGAGGGAGATGTCGGCAGTGTTCAACATAAAAACAATCAAATGTCCAGTGGGAAGGCCCAGGAGGTAGAGCACATCATTGTAGGGTTTGTTTTGAACCACTCCAAAGGGTTTAAAACTAATAACAAATAAACCTGGTCTTTGTGTAAAAAAAAAGATTGTTTGCGGTTAAAAAATAAATAAGTTACAAAACCTTTGTGAAACAAAACCTTTGGCATGACATTTTCAACAATTCTTTGGATTTAATGCAAAATAAGAAGAAACTCCAATTAGTGTATGTTTCTGCATAATTCCATACAGCAACAACAATTGAAAGCATCAGGACAAGTAGGGATTTAAAGGAAAGGTTGATGGACTGACAGTGGACGCCACTGCATTTGGCCTTTCTGGACAAAAAAGGAAATACATGTACATTGTGTATGGTAGTATAGGATAAATAGAGGATCTTAAATAAGTTTTCATTTCATATGAGATTTTATGAAACAAGTCTTCAGAGTTTTTATTTTTGCAAGCCTTGGCGAGCAAATAAGGCTTGCAAAAATTAAAACTTTGAGACAAGTTTCATAAAAGCTCATATGAAATGAAAACAAATTTAAGATACTTTTTATCACATAATTCAGAAAACTTACATTTTGACAGTTTTAAAGCCAAAATGTAGAGGGCTTAAGCAAACGGAGACAGCCATTTTGTTGCCCCATTTACAATTTATGACGTCACGTCATTGTCCATATTATAATCAATTTCTGACTGGCACAGCCAATGAAAAATGCTCCAGGGTATATTACACTAGTGACATATGTAAAAATATTACATCGGTGAATTCACTGGATAACAGGCCAATTATGTGATAAAACAAATTGAAATATAGGGAAACATTATATTTCCATTTAAGCTTAGAAGAACAATTCATATATCATAGAATTCTCAACTAAAATTATTGATATGAATTTAACTTACATGGATCATATTATTTACAGATCAGATGTTTGTGGGAATCTTCTGCTTCCTGAGTTTCAACTTATTTGCTGTTCTTGGAAATCTGACATCCGAGTTTATTAAAGTGGTAAGTTATAAGTGGCTGTGGTAAGTTATAAGTGGCAGTGGTAAGTAATAAGTGGCTGTGGTAAGTTATAAGTGGCAGTGATAAGTTATAAGTGGCTGTGGTAAGTTATAAGTGGCAGTGGTAAGTTATAAGTGGCTGTGGTAAGTTATAAGTGGCAGTGGTAAGTTATAAGTGGCAGTGATAAGTTATAAGTGGCAGTGATAAGTTATAAGTGGCTGTGGTAAGTTATAAGTGGCAGTGGTAAGCAATAAGTGGTAGTGGTAAGCTATAAGTGGCAGTGGTAAGCTATAAGTGGCAGTGGTAAGCTATAAGTGGCTGTGGTAAGTTATAAGTGGCAGTGGTAAGTTATAAGTGGCTGTGGTAAGTTATAAGTTGCTGTGGTAAGTTATAAGTGGCAGTTGTAAGTTATAATTGGTCTGTTTATATTGTATTTCATCTTTGTTCTGTGTCTGTCCTTTAACAATTTGTTGTAGCTATTTCTCAAGAATTAAAAGACAGATCTTCCTGAAATTTTAAATGTGGATTCCTCAAAACTGGGAAATGTTCCAGAATCTGTCTTTTCCTATACATCTGTATGTAGATTAATGTATATGCTGATTAATACATAAGTTATTAAATTCCTTTCAACAGTTCAGGTTTGTTCATAGGAAGTGTGTCTTTGTAAGTAATAGTATTAAGTGTTGATGCTTGAGTTCTTCATGTATTTACAGCCTGGTCCAAAGTTTGTGTGGGTACCAATCCTACTCCGTGGTCTGCTCATCCCTTACTTCCTGTTCTGTAACTTCCAGCCGGGTACGGGGCGTACTCTAGCTGTCCTCATTGAGAGTGACTATGCAGCTATATTTGGAGGAGTGATATTGGCCTTCACCGGCGGCTACTACAGTAGTCTTGTCATGATGTATGGTCCAAAGTAAGTATGATCTATTAGTGGTAATGATGTATGGTCTATTGGTGGTAATGATGGTCCTAAGTAAGTATGGTTTATTGGTGGTAATGATGTATGGTCCTGGGTAAGTATGGAATATTGGTGGTAATGATGCATGGTCCTGGGTAAGTATGGTCTTTTGGTGGTAATGATGGTCCTAAGTAAGTATGGTCTATTGGTGGTAATGATGTATGGTCCTAAGTAAGTATGGTTTATTGGTGGTAATGATATATGGTCCTAAGTAAGTATGGTCTATTGGTGGTAATGATGTATGGTCCTAAGTAAGTATGGTTTATTGGTGGTAATGATGGTCCTAAGTAAGTATGGTATATTGATGTTAATGATATATGGTCCTTAGTAAGTATGGTTTATTGGTGGTAATGATATATGGTCCTAAGTAAGTATGGTCTATTGGTGGGAATGATGTATGGTCCAAAGTAAGTATGGTTATTGGTGGTAATGATATATGGTCCTAAGTAAGTATGGTATATTGGTGGTAATGATGTATGGTCCAAAGTAAGTATGGTTTATTGGTGGTAATGTTGTATGGTCTATTGGTGGTAATGATGGTCCTAAGTAAGTATGGTTTATTGGTGGTAATGTTGTATGGTCCTAAGTAAGTATGGTATATTGGTGGTAATGATGTATGGTCCTAAGTAAGTATGGTCTATTGGTGGTAATGATGTATGGTCCTAAGTAAGTATGGTTTATTGGTGGTAATGTTGTATGGTCCTAACTAAGTATGGTTTATTGGTGGTAATGTTGTATGGTCCTAAGTTAATATGGTCTATTGGTGGTAATGATGTATGGTCCTAAGTAAGTATGGTTTATTGGTGGTAATGATGTATGGTCCTAAGTAAGTATGGTTTATTGGTGGTAATGATGTATGGTCCTAAGTAAGTATGGTCTATTGGTGGTAATGATGTATGGTCATAAGTAAGTATGGTCTATTGGTGGTAAAGATGTATGGTCCTGGGTAAGAATGGTATATTGGTGGTAATGATGGTCCTAAGTAAGTATGGTCTATTGGTGGGAATGATGTATGGTCCTGGCTTAGTATGGTCTATTGGTGGGAATGATGGTCCTAAGTAAGTATGGTTTATTGGTGGTAATGCTCTATGGTCCTAAGTTAATATGGTCTATTGGTGGTAATGATGTATGGTCATAAGTAAGTATGGTCTATTAGTGGTAAAGATGTATGGTCCTGGGTAAGAATAGTATATTGGTGGTAATGATGGTCCTAAGTAAGTATGGTCTATTGGTGGTAATGATGGTCCTAAGCAAGTATGGTTTGTTGGTGGTAATGATGGTCCTAAGTAAGTATGGTCTATTGGTGGTAATGATATATGGTCCTGGCTTAGTATGGTCTATTGGTGGTAATGATGGTCCTGGGTAAGTATGGTCTATTGGTGGTAATGATGTATGGTCCTGGCTTAGTATGGTCTATTGGTGTAGCTTTCCTTGCCATTATTGTAGGGAATCATTTGTTAGTATTTATAAGTACTGAATTGGTGCCATGTGAGCCTTTTGCCATGGTGCTGTGTCTGGCGTCATGTTTAGCTCATCACAGGCCCCACCCTTCGGGACTTGGTCCCAGGTTATAACATGGATATATTTGAGATCCCCACCTTATTACAATAGATAAATTTGCTGAGTAGAAAGAGATGAATACATATATTCAACCAGGATGGCACTTGGGTCTGGCATCACCCTTGAAGACTCAGTCCCTAAGACATACATTTTAAATGATTCAGATTTTGTTACACATATGCTTATCGCTGGTATCTTATTTGCCATACTACATTCAATGAGAATATTTTGCCGTTATTGGGCCTGTTGTTTTATTTGAAATGACCTCTGAATAAACAATAGGCCAGGGGTTGTGACATTTGGCCAGTAGGATGCTAGGATGAAGGGCTATCAAGTTTGTTCAAATAAATGACCTTGACCTTCAAGGTCACAGAGGTTAGATGTACGCAAATTACTGCTCTCTAACCAAGAGTCACAGTATGCTTATCTTTTGCAGTAGCATGCTGAGATAAAGGGGGCCCCCCCCCAAAAAAAAAGTGTTGTCAAGAATATCCTTGGGCAAGGGGAATTGAATTGAATTTTGTATAAACGGAGGATGTGGACCAAATTTAATTTGTTTTAGAGCATCTTTGGGAAAAGGGGACAAAGTTTTGTATAAGTTGAGGGTGTAGCCCCTTTGGGCAAAGGGACAAGGCTCAATAGGGTAAATAAAGGAAACTGGTTTAAATATTTCTCATTTGAAATAAAGGGAAGGATTTTAACCATTTTTTGGTCCAGAGAACCTGCAGCTAAGTGGACTACTTTTTCTATAATTGGAGGACGTAGCCCCCCTGGGAATGGAATGTAGGTAAATCTTTAAAAACTTCTCCTTCTGTAAGGAAGGAGGGATTTAAACTTGGAGGCAGTTGTTTTTCTAGAATATTCCTAGCAAAGGGGACTCAAATTATGTTGTATAAACGAAAAGAGCGTCCCCTGGGAAGGTTGGCAGCTCTGTATTCATAAAACCTAGTCAATTCACAATTGTGTTGATAATTGCATCATGATGATACATGTATCATAGAAAAAAACACTCTTCACAGATAAACATTTAAATCTGACCAATTGTGGTTGTAGGTTAGTGGAGCCAGAGGTGGCCGGCAAGGCAGGGATGATAATGGCTTTCTGTCTGGTCACAGGAATTACCACAGGCGTGGCCTTCTCCTTCCTACTCTCTGTGATGGTAAGCTGGTAACTGCAGTACCTCCAGATCACTACCAAGTCTGGGTGTTATTGAGCTCATCAACACATCAACGCCATATATGCAACGTTGAGTTATAACTGTTCAGCATCGAAACCAAAATTATGACTACTTACCATTTACAGTCAAGCAAAACCTTCAGGTCATGATCAACAATATAAATGCCGGGGAAATATCATGACCATGTGATCAACCAAGACCAAAATTTACAGAACGAGTACATTGAAACAGAGTTTTCATACAAGGAATTTCAAAATCGTGCATAGCCTAGTTGGCTTGTTAAGGATTTTTATTTATTTGGAAATCTAGAGGAATCACCATGCTGACCTACCTACACTGACATGAAACTTGTGAAATAATAAGTTTACCATTAGGTTATTCGTGTGTTAATTCCAAATGTCATTCATTTATTGGCATGATGATGTACAATTAATACATGATCCCAGTGTTTGTAGAGAATAGATATTTGTATCCATGTTGTATACAGTAGCCTCAATGTCAATGCCTCTCAGGGTAAATGTCACAGCTCATTGACATGGGTATATTCTTACTGATCATCTTTTAAATTGTTGATTTACCACATTCACCTGATGTAACATGCCTTGGCTTGTATTTACATAAGAGCATATGTTGATGAAGTTGTACAGAAAGTATTACTTTTTTAACACAAAACAATGTTATTTTTTAAGCTTAAATGATTGCCTTCAACCATGTCTTTTGACAATGGAAATCTGTGCATTGTAGTCAATTTTAGAACAGATGATTTTGAAATATTCTGGTCAACTTGCAAAGATCTAGTCTTGTTGGCCTTGTTCCTAGCTCAACTGGATTGGTTCATCATAGCACACACCTAGGGAAATCAAAACACAACATTTGATTGATTAACATAAAAATCATTGCACAATTCATAAAATTGGAATTATTGTACTGGATAAGATAATAAGTCTGTTTATCAATGTATAGACCGAAAACTGAAGTGCACTCTTATATATCTTATCAAATTTTACTGACAAAATATGAATCACTCATCTCAATACACTTTAGGGTGTATCTCTATCATTACAGGCTTCATACTGACTGGTTTCCCTGGTGCTCATAATACTTAACATTGGATAAAGATTTTGCTGTTAATACACGTAACAGTTATAGTACTTATATACACAAGAAATAATTTGCTGTTCTCATTCAGTAAACATACCATACAAATGTTGTACTTATATACATAGGAAAAGATTTGCTGTTGTCGATACTTATCATATTATAGTTCTTTATCAGAAATATTAATGGGGTAGGAATTGATTCACCGTGGTTCAACGTCTGTTGTCCATGAAGAGCTTTTGATTCCAACATAGGTATCTGGGTCTGAGGGAAAGATAGGTGATATCCAAGTCAATACGACCAATGAGGGCCCGTCAATAACCAACAGGCCCAGGATGTCGCGTTTGGCCAGTAGCATGCTTGGCTGAAGGGCCACCGTCAAGTTAATTCAAACAAAAGAGCTTGACTCACTTTCAAAGTCGCAGGGGTCAATGCCGTGAAATCTTTAAACAGGTTCATCTGAATACCAGTCATTTGTAATGATATTAATTAGGTCTGTAGCTTGATTGGTTTGTTTGTATGAGAGGTTATACATCTGCTGCCCTACCAAGTAGTTCGGTTATCTGTCAGACAAAGCAGACTAGCTTAATTTAGTCCATTTGAACATATTTTAAGGTTACAAGTGTGAGATTGATATCAAGTGAGCCATCTTAGACTCAGATTATATGCTTATATCAAATACTTAGCATGGCAGTATTAAGGTGTTTTAACAAAGGTGTGAATTTTATTACCCCCAGATCTTCCATTCCCTCCCAACACTTAAAACGGTCAAATTGGCTAAAATTTCAACAATCTTCCTCAGGCCAGGTGATATTTCAATCAAACATCTTCTTCAAAAGAACAGAAAGGCTAAGAGTCATGATACTTGGTCAGTGCCTTGCAGGTTGCTACAATGTTTTCAAAGTAAATAACCTTGACTCATGTTCAAGGTCACAAGGAATATCAAGTGTGTTCAAATGAATGAACCTGACCCACTTGAACATTTTTGTAATAACTAAGACACCTAGTATAATTAGCTCACCTGGTCGCAAGGATTAGCTCACCTGGTCGGAAGGACCGGTGACCTTATGCCATGGCGCGGCGTCCGTCCGTTGTCCGTCCGTCACCTTTTCCTTTAAATCACTACTTTAGGCCAAGGGTATCAAATTTTGTATAAACGGTGGCTGTGGCCCTCCTGGGGGCAGAGGGTCGGGACCCAATAGGGGAAATAGAGGTAAAAACCTTTAAAATCCTTCTTCTACCATAGGAAAAAGGGATTTTATCCAAATTTAGTCTAGAGTATCCTTGGGCCAAGGGGACTAAATTTTGTATAAATGGTGGGTGTAGCCCCTCTGGGTGCAGAGTTACGGGGCCCAATAGGGGAATTTTAGGTTTAAGTCTTCAAAATCCTTCTTCCTCTGTACCATTGGAGGGATTTTATCCAATTTTGGCCTCAAGCATTCTTGGGCAAAGGGGAACAAAATCTTTAAAATCCTTCTTCTGTATTATTGGAGGTATTTTATGTAATAAGAATATTACATTAGAAGAATTAATATGGGCCTCTTGTTATATTTGGCCTGTAGCTTAACAATGGTATTTTGTCTTTAAAAATATATTTGACCTTTAGTTATTTGTGAGATGAGTAAGATGTGAGAGGTACATGTCTATTAAGTAAGATGTGAGAGGTACATGTCTAATGAGTAAGATGTGAGAGGTACATGTCTAATGAGTAAGATGTGAGAGGTACATGTCTATTGGGACTTTTGTTTTAAAATGTTTACAATGAAATGTAATGTTGAATTTGACATTGTTGTTTTTATTTACTTATGAAATTCTCTCCCTCTTGGGCTCCATCTTGAGCTTGACTGCACTTGCCATGTCAAAAAATAATTTGTAGCTTAGTGTCTACTTGTACCTTTATAATGACCTTTATCAATGCAATGCCAATCCCTACTATTATTATTCCTATTATTACTTATATTGTTTGTTTGCCAGCCTATTTGTACATGCTGTTTTATGTATGTGAATGTTAAATCTTTGACTGTTTCTTTGTTGACATTGAATATCCCTCTCGGTGATATTCAACAATTATTATATATCTTTTTGTGTTTGACACAAATATAATTGTCTTTGAAAGCCGCTCCATTTATTAAGTGAAACATTTTCAGCAAACCATCATCAGATCATCTGTCGTCTTGTTATTAAATCAGTAATAAAATGAACTATGCCAGACTAAGGACCAAGGGAGAGCTAGATAGGAGAAAGGTCTGTCTGCCTGCAGTGGGACAGGGCTCCTTCATCCCTAGATCTATTAACACATCTCACCCAAATATTGTCATACATAGTGAGTCACTCTCGCTCTTTTAGCCCTTTATCATTCAAATTGATGTTAAAAGGGTTTTTGTCATTATAGAAGTCAAACATATTCTTAAATGTTCAAAAATATAGGCCAAGACAGCTGGATATAAAGGGGTACACCAAAGGCTGACAATTAACTGGTCTAGTTCTGGTGATAAACAATAGTACTGACAACAGGCATATTTAGTTACCTCCCTGTAGATAGGCACATTAAGTTATTTTCCCTGTAGTTTTAGCTCACCTGCACGAAGGGCAAGTGAGCTTATGCCATGGTGCGACGTCTGTCGTCTGTCAACTTTTCCTTGAATGACTTCTTCTGAAGAATGGACAGGCCTAGAGTCATGATATTTTGGTGATAGCTTTATTGGTAAGAGCAAAACAAAAATGACCTTGACCTACTTTCAAGGTCAAAGAGGTCAAAAGTGTCAAATACTTAAAACTACTTCTTCTGAAGAACTGAAAGGTATAGAACCTTAATATTTGGCTGGTAGCTTTTTTGGATAGAGCCAAACAAAGTTTGAGAATGACCTTAACCTACTTTCCAGATCACAGGGGTCAAATATGTCAAAGACTTCTTATGAAGAACTGAGAGGTACAGAATCTTCATATATGGCTGGTGGCTTCTTGGGATGGAACCTGACAAAGTTTGAGAATGAAATGATCTTGACCTTCTTTCAAGGTCACAGGGGTCAAATATGTCAAACTGATCAAATTTGGTTGCTTTTTGGGATTGAGCCTGATAATGGTTGTGAATGAAAATGACCTCAACCTACTTTCAAGGTCACAGGGGCCAAATATGTCAAACACTTCAAATAACTGTCACAGATGGAGCCTGACAAAGTTTGCTTTTGAAAATTAGCTCAACCTACATTCAAGGTCACAAACTGCAAACAGCTTCTTTTAAAGAAGTGAAAGGCATGGAGGTTTGATATTTAACAAGTAGCTTCCTTAGATGGAGCCCAACAAAGTTTGTGAATGAAAATGACATTAACCTACTTTATCTTATAGCTTTATCTTAATATAATTTGATATATAAGGCCCAACATGATTTTTGCAATGACTGCTTAAATATCCAGACGAGAGATACAGGCCCTCGGGGCCTCTTGTTTTCCTATAATTCACTTATAACAGGCAGATTTAGATATTTTCCTATAATTCACTAGATTTAGTTATTTTTCCCGTTGTCTGCTAATAACAGGAAGATAAATAATAATAATAATATTCAACATCTGATATAGCGCCCTATATAGCTTACATAAGCCACTCTAAAGTGCTTTATAGTACATAGATATACAATTTATACGATCAATACAATTAGCTTATACATCAATCAATACAATTTTGAAGGAATTCGCAGGAGTTGCCTTATCAGGCGCTAACTACTAGTCCTATGCCACCTGACTAATATCTCCCTATGTGGTTATGCCTGCGTGTGTGCTGAAGATGTATTGTGTTCTGTTTGTAGTGGGACCGTGCTTCCAATGGTATCATTTATAGTGTCACCTCACTTGAATGCTACAGCACAGATACTGCAACATCCACCCCAGACCACTTTATACTCCACCTGGGTTGTTGGAGTTGTGTCTTGTGATTTAGTTATTTTCCCTGAAGTCCACTGACAACAGGCAGACTTTATTTTTCCCTATTTTCCCCTTTGACAAAAATATTGCAGTATCATATAAAAATGATTGACCCATCATTTTCTAATCGTAAAATACTTTTGTTTGCCACCAAGATGGGGAGGATGTTAAGCAGTATCCTCCGGTCACAATGGATCAGGGGTAATCAGTGCACTTCAGTGAAGGTATAATTAAAACCTGATATGTGAACATAGTTGGCATAGTGTTACAGCGCAGGGCCCGTAATCTGGATGTCCAGGGATCGACAGGCGGCAAGGTCAACTTACATTTTGTAAACAGGGCAGTCATGAGCATATATTACCTTTAATCTTTGTGTAGTGTTGTTGTGTATAGACGACACAAAATGGGCTTCCTGGTCTCCAATGTTGTGTACATGACAGTATAGAGGCTGTGTAATAACTACCAGGTCTCCTTTACCATTGTCATGACAGTATAGAGGCTGTGTGTGTAATAACTACCAGGTCTCCTTTACCATTGTTACTATGTTTGTCTACTAATCGCCCTGGTCAGAACATTTGTTTTACATAACTATGTACATACACCACAGTATTTTGTATTAAATTAAAAAAAAAAAAAAAAATCAAATGTTTGCGTGGTCTTTGTGTTATTAAAATTTTGCCGGGATTAATTTTTGTGATTTAAGAGAAACGAATTAAATGGAATCCTGAGAACTTTTGTGCTTTAACAGTAGGTAATACTTCTGCTTGAGTATCAGTGAACCTCAAGTGATCTAAGAGTGTTTTCAGGCCAGGGAGATGTCTAATTATATATGGGAAGGTATGGCTAGCCTGGATCATTGATCTAGAGTGTATTCTGGCCAGGGAGATATCTTATTATATATGGGAAGGCATGGCTAGCATGGAGCATTGATCTAGAGTGTCTTCTGGCCAGGGAGATATCTTATTATATATGGGAAGGTATATGGCTAGCATGGAGCATTGATCTAGAGTGTCTTCTGGCCAGTGAGATATCTTATTATATATGGGAAGGTATG